CATCTGAAATTCCTTACACGCTGGACTTTCTACATAGAAGCAGATAACCATATTATATATTTCAAATGTGCTATTTAAAATTTAGAATTTTCTATGATATTTACTTATGTACGTAAGTTCATTTGCAAATAATGTAGTTTTATAACTTGTAACATTCACATGTTGATAAGCAGTAATGCGCGTTTCGAATGAAATATTGTTTGGTCCAATGGGCTTCCCTCAGTGAAGTTGATCGCTTCAATTCCAAACTACTTGCTTGTTTTACATTAAATTGGAAGTGATTTTTGCATGATAGATTATGTGTGCTCATGAAAAGTGGTGAAAATGGTGGTGCGGGGAACTATCTCTCGCGACACACATTTACAGATTAGAATTTGAACCTTGTTTTTCTTGTAAAGTAGGCAGAGGTGTGCATAAATAGTACAGCGAATTCAGCTTGTTTAAAACGAATGATGGGAAAGAGAACTAATAAGTGTTTATCAGCACATGTATATAGTTTAGATCATTGGAAGTGTCAGTTTACGAATTTGGCAGATAAAATAAAAAATATGCTCCAAGGAGTTGAAAGTGGAAATGGGATCACCCATGGTTTCTGAGAGGATTTGTATAACACCCTTTATGGCAAATTCTACTTCTTTTTTTTTTTTTTTTGCTGACTCAGGATGTATATTCTAGTAATACTTAATTTTTTTCTACTGTATAATTTCTTAACATACTGTGATAGATGCAACACAGCTTCCCTAGTGATATACGCAAATGAAAATCAAAGGAACTAAAGTCAGTTCCCCTGTTCAGATTGAACACAGTGTTTTGCGCTGAAAAGTTCTACAGATAGATTATAGGACGCTGTTGAATCAGCTTGTTTAAATGAAGGTTCTTCGATAAGTGGTTTTTTCAATCCTCGCCAAGACATAGCTAAAAAGTCAATTAGAGACAATGAAGACAGATTAGTCAACACAGTGGACACGGCTTTGTCCTGTCAGCAGATATTGGAACGACCTGGAAGAGCTTCCAGCTTGGCTTTGTTCCTATCAGCAGCCTGAATGCTTGTCTTATGCGACATAAAACTCACACACACACACCCACACACACACTCCTCATAACACCAGCCACAAGGGTGTATATGTAGGGTTGAACAGACAAGTAATTGGTTTGCAAATGCAAAGACCTTAATTCAGTAAGTAGCGTGCAGAAATGTCATTACGCATGTACCATCCCATCTCTTCTCCCCTCCCCCCTCTTTTTAAACCTCTGCCTCCCTCCTGCAATTTTCTTCAAGCCATTTACAGTTTGGATTGTAGTCCCACATCCCACTCTTTTTTCAGTTCCTTCCATCCATTCTGTTGCTTTCTCTTATTTGCCAAATGTAAGTCTTCTATCACCCTAATTTTCTCCCTTCAAAACCTCCTGATCTCCTCCTTCCTGTCCTTCTCCCCTCCTCTGACTTCTATCTGCATGCCCTCTCATCCGCCTTCTCCTCTTTCTCTTCTTCTTTCCCCAATTCCACTGTACCAAGACACGAGTCGTTGTAGCGAACTCCAACCTTAACTGAAGATGAAACAGCCCGGTGTGTGTGTGTGGTGCTGTGGTGTGGTGTGTGTAGATGTGCGTGCCTGTGCGTGTGTCGGTGTGTGCGTGTGGTGCCGTGTGGTGCGTGCGTGCGTGCGTGCGTGCACAGCTTGGTGAATTGCCTCTACTTTAAATTAATTTCTCCCCTCGTCTTTCTACCTCTGCTCCAATATGTGTGTTTCTGTTTCCTTTTCAGTTTGATCAAACACAGTCGGATCCTACCAACGGTCTTTCAACTCATTATGGTAAGAAACCACCCTGAATAATTTTTTATGCAGCCAATTAGCAAATCACCTGGTCATTCAGCCAGTCAATGAATCAGTCAGTCTGTTAAATAGTCTTACAATTGGCTAATAAGACCAAGTTATCACAGTCTGTATTATTCTATGGCATTTTTGCTGTATTTTATTACAGCTCAGTTTTACTCTGTCTCCCTCCTCTTTCCTCTCTCACTCGCTCCATCTAACCCTCATAGATGTGTTTATGTAAATTAGTCTGAGTGGTGTTGACCTATTACACGACTGGTGTAATTGACTGGCAGGTCAGCCATAGAGAGGAGGAAGGGTTAATAGAGTGAGAATATGGACTCCACTATTAAGATCCCACACAAACGCATGCACAAACACACAGCACTTGTCTGTTATCAGCGAAGCATAACAACGTTTCCAGTAAACAATTTATTTCACCTGACCCTTTTTCCATACGCACAATCTAATGAACACACAAACACATTGAGTACAATCTGTTTTGAGCAAACCAAAACATTTGTGCTGCAGCAAACACTTTATGATTTATGCACACACACACACACACACTCTCAAACATACTCACTAAATAATCAGCGTTCTGCATGGCTGCCTGTCCAGCCCCGACTAGCTGATGCAGAATGTTAAACACTGTTATCCAACAGCCTGATTAACTGATTGTTTACTCCTGTCTGAACCAGTCATGTCAGGATCCATTAGTGCCGTCTGTATTGCTCACATTTGGATTGATTTATGCTGCCTAAAACACTGTGATCTGGATTGATTACACCTGTCACTGTGGATCACACGTTTCATGGAGAAACTCACCTAATTGTATTTGTCTAGATGATGAAGTAGTTCTGTTTCAAACATGAAAGGACCTCAGGAAACTGGCTGGACCGTGGTTCTTTAACTGGTTTCTTGCTGTGCTCGAGGAGGCAGACGAGTGATCAGAATGGTTTGCAGTTAAATACTTTTAGCAATCCCTACTTTCTTATATTGTACATTCTGTAGTTAACACCACTAAAACGTATTGAAAACTCTGAGTTAAGGTGCGGGTCAATTAGTCACTAACTTAAAATTCATTTTAGTTTGCCATTCCTCATTGCTCTTTGTCAGGTTTATGCTTTCAGTGATGTACACGATAGTCCATTCAAGCCTTATTAGTCTATAAAGATCAAATTAAATGAGCTTTGTCATTTGTTATTACTGATGGGCAGGTTGTCCTAGGTGCAAATTGATGTCATTGTCTTCAGCCCCAGGCTACTGCACATGATGAGCAAGCATCAGGCTGGCTTATCAGCCAGTACACAGATCACACTGACTCGCAAAGACCCCGCAGGCAGGCTGGTGTATCTCAGAGAGGATCAAATAGTGAATTGAGGGCAGGCGAGAGAAGGAGAAGTGAATTACTGTCACAGGAAGGAGAGAAGGTTTTCTAAGGAGGGGATGGAGAAGAAGAAGAGAGTAAAGGCAGGAAAGGCAAAAGAGGAAAAGGGAGAGGTTGACGAGTAACAGAAAAGTGGAGAGACTGCATCCTTGCTCCTCGTTCTCTTCTTCTCTTAAACACTGTGCCCCAGTAACAATTTTCACAGTAGGGAGAACGTATCATTCCTCTCAGATACAACATCTAATTCTTGCATGTGAATAAATATTATAAATATATGGCAATGTTGCTGTGCTACTGACAATAGAAATATCATGAACACCCATCAACTGACCTGTAATAACAACAAAAAACATTTATAATTTCTTGATTTTAGGTAACAACATTGACAGTCCATAATATGCTCACTAATATACAGTAGCTTCACTGATATCCAGTAGTACATGCCATAATGTGCCAATAAACTCGAGACCTGCTGAACTGGTAAACCAGTGATTTTTCAGGACAAAATATACATTTTGTATGACAAAATGATGATGATTAATCAGTGAATATACTCCTTTCTCTTGCTCGTTGGTTTCTGTGTGGTTATTGTTGACTCTGTGTGCCATTTGGGATACCCTGTAAGTTCCAAAGATATGCACTTAATGGCAGGCTTTGGGAAAAACTGATGTCAAAGAGGGTTGCAGGAGTTGGCTCCTGGGACAATTTCACAGTAAGGCTGACTTTAAAACACCATGTCCTGCTCGTTTAGTACATTTATGGTGCAAGCCTCTAGGGGCAGCACTGGGCTGTATAAGCTCAAATAAGATATACCATATTTAAGCAACTTACTGTGTTTAAGTAATATTTCTATAAAGAGATAAACATGGAGGTTGATATTTTGGAATTAAAGCTTACAATTTTGGTGTTTGGTTACGTGTGCAAGTACGTAGGTTTTTAATATGATCTGTGTACTGAAAGATTTTGTTCAACGGTTGATTTTGGTCAAGTCAGAAAGGACACACACACATGTTGGTATTACTATTCTTGTGAGGAATTTAAATTGACTTACATTCTCTCACTGGAGCTGTAGGTCTAACCTTAACTATACGGTACACGACAGACGGTAACACGGGCGATTAACAATGATTCCCTCCTGCACTCTTCTTCTCTGATTAGTTGATGTAGCCATAGCTGTGTAGTATAAAGGTGGTGTTTTTTGTGTTGTGAGAATGTGAGTGTGTGATGAAAGTCTATGACAGAAATGTTGCTTCATTGTTAAACAGTGCTGACCTTGTGTGGAAGACCACTACCTTACTTTTATTTACATTGACTATCTCAAGCCCTCACATTTAGTTTGATGTTAGGTAGTAGATGTAACATAATTCTGCATTGACTTCAGACTACTTATGGAATACACCGTTAGACTGTAGCTGACCTGTAACCTAGTTGTCCTATCTCTTCCTCTCACTTTCTGTAGACTAACAGTAGTAATGTCACCAGTGGGATGATCCAGAATGCAGTCGCCTTGCTGTGTAATCTTAGTGGAGACACAGTGTTGGACCTGGAGCCACCATACCAACAAGGTACAGAATGTCTGCAAGCAGCCTGTGTGGAGAGAAAATTTTACTTTTTACTGCTTTGGGAAAAAAAGCATTTCTTGTTTTGTACTTTTGCTTACACTAGTTCTATTTTTAGTGAGGGGGTTAAGTGAGTCCTAGAGGCCCATCTGTCATTGACACATTATGTTGGTATCAGGTATCTACTCTGCTAGCATTAGTTTTTGTCATGTTACTTGTTGGCATCTTGTTTTCCCCAGCCTTCTGTCCTGCTACAGTATAATTCTTATTTAGGTCAACAACCTTGGCTGTGCTTGTGTGTGCATGAGGCAGGGGCAATGATTTTGTCCTTCAGCCTTTATGAAACTCAATGATATTAGAATTTCTTGACGATCGCAAGTGATTCCAGTGGATCCAGAGGGGAGAGTGTGTCTCGGAGTGAGGACATTTTTCAGAAGTTAGGTCATTTTAAGCCTATTTTAGCAAACATGAGCCAGTTTGGGATTAGGACTTTAATTAGAAGGAAGGAATAGTAAGGCACAAAGCTCATGCACATATGGATGCAGTCTAAATCTAGCATTAGCGAATGAACAAAATAAATTAAAGATTTTTGCAGGAAAACATTTACAAACACTGCTGCCTATGTGTGTGTGTGCGTGTGTG